AACTCCACAAAAAAAAAATAAAAATAAAAAAAAATAAAAAAAAATCTCGAGTTAAAGAAAGGCAAACCAATGTTAAGCAAAATGTATTGATTGGAGTGGACTGCAATGTCTTTGCACATCAGCGTCAGTTCATATCAGTGTTGAGTATTGTGACACGAGATGCATAACCTTCTTCCATGAATGAAGTTGACATTTATGAGAATGTAGAGCATTATGTATTGGCAAAATAAGGTGTCTCAATGTCCTCCAAAAAAACAAACTAAAAATCAAATATCCCAATAAACCAATCTAATCCTCATAAATAAAGACAAGAATGTGAAATGGATGATAAGAAAGGTGTATTTACATTGCTGGAACTCCACCATCTTCAAAACTTCATATAATGCCTTATGAGACATAGATTTGTACTGATTATGATGAAGATGGTGATTCAGAAATTGTTAGTTAACAGTCAGCCCCAAAGCAAATCACAAAAAGAAATCATACTCAGAAGAAAAAGTGCAACCAATAAAGCGAAAACTTAGCGCAATGTGGTAAGTGGCTCTGAAGAATACAACAAATATGAAATCAACTTCTCCCCAAAGATTCTTATACAACTGTAGCAAAAAAAAAAACAAAATTAACCTAAAAAAGAAGTGAAGTTTTGCTTTAGCACAACAAAAGTTGTACCAATATCTTTGGCTTGAATGATGGACTGGTAGACCTCTGCAGAAAGTTTGGCACTGACTCCAAAGCCATCAAGCTTTCTTCAAAATTATGGTTACAAATCCTCAATTGTTAAACCTCTCTAAGTGGATTATTTAAGTCCAAGTATTCCATCAAAGTTTAGAATGATTAGCCAATTCAAATCTAGTGTTCCTGTCTCATTGAGACTGTCAAAAAAACCAAATTCTTGTCATTCATGACCACGAGCACACAACACTCTTAAAAATGGCCAACTAGAATAAACCCAAGTTCTGCAAAGCAAATCAAACATCAAAGCCATAAGTCATAGTCTTCTGACCCAATGTGTATCAAATTCATCTAAGGCCCCTGAATTCCCAAGCCTTCTCGATGAAAATAGAGATACAAACCCAAGTTCTATAAAACTTCAATCCTAGTTACAAGTTTGTACTGAATAATAAATCTCAAATCTCACCGGTCTACCAAATATATAAGCCCTAACTTTTCTCATTCCCACGGCTTATCTTTGTCAAATTTAAAGGTACAAGTTTATCATATGCATAATGGTTCCATCAAATCTAGTTATAAACTTTCCCCAAGATGTAAGCTCCACCTGAAATCAAGACCAATTTGCATTGTGAGAGCCAAATTCTAAATAAGGTGGGCAAGCCAAATCACACAATGCTATGTTAAAGCTTTTCTTTAGGGGTTGATGGTTTGTTGAAAAATGAATGCAATGTAAAAAAATACAATTCAACTAAAATATAATGTATTTGAAATATTTCGAAGTTTTTAATTTGGTGTACAGTAGATGAGGAAATTTATATTTTCTTGTTTGGTTTAAAGAGAAACGAGATCCATGTAAAACATGCTCGGCAAAGTAGGTGACAGCAGCGACAATGACGGTGAGTGGCAGAAGAGGGGCGACAATGACAGGAGAGGTTGTGCAACTAACGAGATGCAACAGTGAGTGGCCAACGAGCGACAATGACAGCAGCAACAAGCTGCAATTTGCAGTTTATCTGCAAATCACTCAAATCTAATTAATTAAGAACACACCTGTTTTGAACTGCATAATAAATTCCAAATTAACCAAAATTTTATAGTACACTCCATTTTTGTCCAACCAAGCTCTAGAAATTTCAAAACCCCTGCATTTGTTTTACTTTACATCACTAATGTAAGGAACCAAACAACCCCTAGGTCACTTGTGTTCCAACATATAGGTTGGGCCATCCATCTTGAGATTACTTATACAAACCATTTTGTGGACATGCCAAAATGTTCACTATCAAATACTGTAAACCTTAGTTACAAAATTGAGTCAAATGTCTGATAATCTCTAAAAATGCCCATAACACTCCACATAAATGCCCTAAGATACTTCCCTCTTCAAAATATATTCTCAATTTAAGTTGTTGAATTGGCCACACCATGTCTCAAAGCTAAGGAAATTCACATAAAAACACTTTTGAACAATTCTCAATCATGCTTGTGCCTTTAAGTCACTCTCAATTTGAATTGACCAAGCCCAGTATACTACAAAATCTGGTGGTCATATAAAACACATTTGAAACACTAATGATCATGTACGTGTTCTCGAACCTATGTTGATTCAAATATGGATCTATGAATCTAACCTTAATAGGTTAAATGTCTTTAAGCACACTACCACCTCAATTTAGTCGAGAAATTTAAGAATCTACTAACCAAACTCCCTAAATGGCAATGACACCCGCTCCTCCATTGTTATTAACATACTAGGTTAACAAATTTGATAAATGATGTTGAAACTATAGGATATTAATCGAGCTGATTCTTCATCCTCAAACGTGACTTCCATGCATAAAACCAAATACTTACCACCAATCCAAATGATAATGATGTCCATAATCTGAGTATCTTGGATACACTCCAAGGATGTAATTAAACATAGTGGATTGCATGGGAAACCTCTACCCTATTAATATAATATAAACTCTAGGTTCACCATTTTCTAGGAGAAATCTTTGGTATATCAAATAATTTACTAATGAAACTCTCATGACAAAAAGGTTTTAACCTCCCTCAGCTTCATGAGAGACGTCATATCCAGTATGTTCCTCAATGACCTTAGCCCTCTTTAGTTGTGAGTTATAGGGTGCACATGACATAATACAAAAAAGCTTACCTAAGGTCGAATTAAACTTATTTCTTTAGCTAAATATCCATCTCAATTCTACAAAGTTTAGTACCAATAAGAATTTTTCAATTAGGATCCATGCCAACTTGAAATGATAGAATCATAAGATCTTAATTGAAATCGTTAATATTTCTCTAATCGTTCAATTTAAGCTGACGGTGATAGATTCCACTATTTTAACTAACCATTTTAGTTGAACGTTAAGTAATTAGCATCTCAAGGGATAGCTTTAAACGAAAGTTATCTCTTGTTAGTAGGAGAGGTGCTCCTATGAGAAATCTTGAACCAAGTATTAAAGTCCTCATGAATAAGGATGAGATATTTAAAATGCATTTTCTTTGAAATCTAATTTGCCTTTTGAAGATTTGACTCAAAATCAATCAGAAAACTCTCTTAGGAGAGCTTTGGGAAAAATATTTTGGAGCCCACATAGGATAAGTTTGATTATTGGTGTTATGTTGTAGGTAGGGCTGTCAAAACGACCCGTTGTTCGCGAACAGCTTGTGATCGGCTCGTTAAGTAGCTCGTGTTCGATTCGTTCACTAAACAAACAAGTCGAACACAAACAAATTTTTTTGTGCTCGATATATAGACGAGCTGAACACAAACAAAACTTTGTTTGTTCGTAGTTGGCTCGTTTTAGTTTAAACTAATTATATATATATATGTGTGTGTGTGTGTATTTATATTTATATATAATTGATGAGTATTATTTTAAATAATTTAATTACCTACAAGGCTCCAAAGATTTATAATCGATTAAAATTATTAATTAAAAATAGAATAAAAATATACTAAATTACATTTAAATAAATATTTTTACTATAAATAATAAGATTTAAATCTTGCCCTTACCTCTAACATTCTACAGTTTCGTGATTAGGGTTATCAAAACAACTTGTTGTTCGCGAACAATTGGCGTTCGATTCTCTAAGCAAACGAGCCGAACATAAACAAATATTTTGAGCTCGATATATAAATAAGTCAAACACGAACAGTATTATTTTTTAACAAGCCAAACATGAACAAAGTCGGCGCTCACTCAAGCTCGGCTTGTTTACACCCCTAGTTATAGGATCTTCTAAAATATAAGGACATCCAAGAGGATTTAAAAACATCCTATGATATGGCCATTTTATAAAGCTTTATTTCAATTATCATGGGAAATATAGTCATTTGTTAGTTGCTTAAGATAGATTTTATTATTGGTCTTATAGAATTTCTATCAAAAACAGAAGTTTAAAGGTCATGCAAACTAGATTATAATTTATTAAATGAAATTATGTTTGTCAAGTTTTTGTCCCCTTCTCTCCTCATGATGTGAGCATGATTCTCTCACTTCTCACCTCTTTCTCGTAGTTCAAGTTTTTTTAAGGTTTCCAAAAATCATCTGATGTTCCTCTCTACAGCACTCAGCTATCAAAAGCATCTCTTAAGCATATTTAAGACAATGGGCAACATTATAATAGTTGCCTTTTGAATTAGTAGAGCTCACCTCTAAAATTACATCTATTTGGAATATTCTTATGGGCTATGTGTAAGGCTATTGATAACACTTCGTTCCTTAAGAATCTGAAGTTCCCTCCAATTTAGCGTGAAGAAAGACTTTTAAACATTAATGTACCTTTTGATGTAATAGTTGAGTTTCATTAAGAACACCGAAGTTAAGTATACTCATACCGGAGCACGCCTAAGAAAATGAACTCTCAAAAAGTTGTAGCAAGGTGAGAAAAACATTGATATTGAACTAAAAATTTTGAGTCGTGACATCACCTTCGTGAGATTCATGTTTCCATTAAATAGAATGAAAGTCCATATTCCCATGAAAAGATGCAGCTATTTACTAAAGAAAATGTGTATATAGTAATAATAAATAATTTTTAACTCTGACTAAAACCCCACTTAAGATTGCTATCAATCAACATAATAAAATCAAAGTCAAGCACTTTTATAACCATAGAAGTTTATTAATCTCATCATAAGTATGCAAAAAACCTGGAGAAAAAACTACAATTGAATTTACCTTAAAGTTCCTTGAGAGGAAACAAATTTAAGTATTTAAAAAAAAAAATTTCTCACGGCCCCCGACGGCTGGAACAGAGAAACTATAGCCTGAGGTAATGAACTGAAATGCTTTATGTATTACCAAACTCACCTTAAAAACTCATGAGCATCTTCTTCTCTCCCAGGAGCAAGATGACTTCCAATTCTATCTATATGGGATAGAATTCCAACAGGGGATACTGGGGATTGCCCCTGTTTTCCTTTCAAGATGAGATTTTCAAATTCACAAGTGAAACACCAACCTTTTCTTGAACCTAAACAAAGAGCGACTATTGAAAATAAGGAAAAAAGCACTAAAACAATGTAAGAAGCTGAAAGTAGTCAGTGAAAAAAGTATACAAAACTTGCATTTCGCTCTATGAAATCCTTCAAGAAGATAAGCATTTAGTGGCCGAGTAAATGTCAGGCACTGGAGCACTGCATTAGCAAAGCAACTGCGATATAGAAAAAGGTGGTGACAATTATAGATGTAAGTATCACAAAAAGCAATATTCCTTCAGAATTTGACCTGGGTGGCATGTTCCACTCAAAGTTGCCAAAAACTGACATATTCATTATCACAACTATAGAAAAGAACAATGACCAATTTCAGCAGTAATCAAGCTGTACCTGTTGCCACAGTTAGAAAGGCCAAACGGTTCCATATCCACCTTGTCAGAGTAGTAAAGCTTGGCAAAAAGTTCATAGGGGAAATTCATCTAGAAATATAAAGAAAATACTGACAGTTAAACGACTAAAAAGTAACCATTCTGCCTAAGGAAATGAAAAAAATGTGCTAACCTAGCAATTAATACAATACAACTTAGGAATACAGCACTCACAGGCATTGATGAGAGACCTCCAGAGCTCGGTGACGGCTTTAACTGGTGGACAATACTTTTAACAGATGTTCTGAGATCAGATTTACAGTTTGATACAAAACCTGTACTCTTCGAGAATTTAGATGTTATTTTTGGGGCATTGTCAACTTTTAAAGATGAATCATCTAAAATGGACTGCCTTCTCCCGCCATAGAATGCACGATCAGCAAAAGATATAGACAGAGACCTCAACCGTCTAGCCTTTAGCAGCCAGTCATCAGCACTTTTCCTGCTTGGGTTAAAACCTGATTTTCCAGATCCCACGACTTTACAGTCCCTGGGGCTGGATTCCTTAGTACCATCGAGGTGGGTAGAGTTAGTTCCAAAGATTTTGTTCTGGTCAGAATGCTTCAAGTGGTTTTCAGGACAACAGGCATCTAACTCAACGCCTATGTTCTTGAAGTTAGTGGTGCATTGAGAAAATTTATTGGTTGTGTTGAGGTTAGAGGAAACTAAGTGCAAGTCAAGAGAATCATTCAACTTATACTTCTTGTCTTTGGTACAAAGAGAGGACAGTTTTTGCTTTGAATTAATTGTGTGAGACAATTTGTTTACCAAAAAACTTGCACTGCCACTTCCGACAGGAGGAATTTCAATGGAGTTAGCAACAGCTGCTTCTTTCAGTCCATTATCGCGAGATACAGCTCCGTCAGTATTAGCATGATGACCAGCACAGGAAAAAGCTTCTTCACAGTTTTCCAAGAAGCCGGAATAAATAGAGCAGCTAGATGACGAATCAACTAAGGAATCACGACAGCTATCTGCCCTAGATGAATCCAAGAATGATTTAATATCCTTTCTATCATTGACTCCTACAACATAATTAGACTTGGAATCAAATGAGCGTCCCTCAACAGTATTGGTACCAGATTTCTGTTCATTCGCAAATGTTTTATCCAACAATTTTAAATTTTCCGCACTAAGATGAGAATTACTTTCTTGAAGCTTATCTTGGTGATCAGCTTGAGGACGATGGCATTCATTCTTGTGACCTCGTCTCCAGTGGATAATCTGGCATGTGCCAGAGCTGCAGTAATGCACAAGGAGAATATGAAATAAGTATCAGCCTAGAAAGCATCTCAAGTCATTAGCACCATCATGAACAAAGCCAACTAGCCAAATTTTTTTATTACAGAATGCTCAAAAACATATAAGGAGAGAAGCATCCAAAATCCATTATTTTTGTTTTCCATGGATTTAAAAAGCATGCCTCTTTTAGTTGCAAGATGTTCAGTATTTGCGAGATAAGCTATGAGCAAGGAGAGAAGCACATGGCTGCCTCAACCTAACTATTAGAGTCCAGCTTTATGAATTATTCTTTAACAATCATTCATCATGAGTGTTGTGCATATGGTCTTAACTATTGGTCAATTTCTTACCTAATCCTTTTTGTCCCCTCCCTTTCATAAGTATGAAGACATTTTTTGTCCATTATCGATGCTGAGCTCGGATCAGCAAAATGAATGTGCGAGCCATAAGAACATCCAACCTGCTGAAAGTTCACTACATTAGGTCCTTCAACAAAATTTGTGCAACAATTTGTTTGGGGATACGATCCTAACATCTCCAATAAGTTCATAAAGCACAAGCTAACGCCCTGAGAATACAGTATTTACAAACCTAACTATATGACATAACGGTTACTAGGCTTACTGATCAAAATCAAATGAAGATTACATAGACAAAGCTACAAAGTATTAAATAAAAAACAGTTTTGAAATGATATGGAATGGCCTTCAGTTGTTTTAACTAATTTAGCTTCTAGTGTGGCTGATCCTTCATGAATAAGACGATCAATAGCTACATTGCAGCAAAAATGCAATTTCTTTTAAAACATTATCACGGTCACCATCAAAAGCCATAAACCAACTATTTATGGTTAGCTTTGTGCATCATCTTCTCCATTCACACCTATTGAGTGCTAAATCAGATGCTCATTTTCTTTTTCACATCTCATCACAACTTTCAGGCATGTCTTATTGATATCTATTAATGAAACAATATTTTAAAAGACAAAGGCACATCCTAAGATGCTTCAAATGTCATAAGGCAATTTGTAAGCCTCGGAGGCAGAGAGTATAAGCTCAAGACTTTTTATTTTTAAAATTTGTAAAACCCAACAACATGATTTGGATTAAAAAAAATTTGAACTAAACACCATAAAAATTATTAAAAATGGAGAGAAACTTCTAGTTGGAAATAAGGTATCAAGCATGCCAAAAATGCAAGTGAAGACATTTCGAAATCATATTTCACATAAACTCAAAAGTTCAGTTAATGTAAACAATTTAAGCAAAAAAGTAGTTACAAACTTAAACAAGAAATAATAATGTACTCTTTAGCCCTTCCGAAAACTCCTCATCATCAAAGTTATTTTCTTCAACTAAAGCATCGAAAAATGTTGTAGATGCAGGTTACAACATTGCAAAGTCAATTTAGAAACAAAATCCACTATTTCTATGACATCATTCTCTAGTTCTGCACCAAGCAATTGATGGCTAGAAAAGATAAGAACCATAGATGATTAACTTCGACAATCTATCAGGGAGAGATCCACACGAGTTAGCTTTAACAGCCAAAGGAGACCAGTTGATGATGAGATCAACAATTTGATAGAAAAGTGGGGTGGACAGCCAAGACAGAGGAGGGCTGGAGGACAAGAAGATGAGAGGGAAATGAACTGGCATTTTACTTGTGTTTGCAGAAAATAGAAAATAGAATTTTACAAAAAAATAGTTAAGCAATTTAAATGTAACTTGGGTTATATAAATTGACATTAAAATTAACTTGGTTTAACTTATTAAAACAAATTACTTGTGGTTGCAAAAAATAGAAAATAGAATTCAACAAAAAATAGTTAAGCAATCTAAATGTAACTTGGGTTATAATAATTGAAATTAAAAATAACTTGGTTTAACTTATTAAAACATAGTTCCAACTTTTAATCCTTTATAGAAGTTCATTAAAATATTACTAGGCCTCCCCAATGTGGGATATAAGCATGCCTCATGCCCATGGCCATACTTAGACCTTTGGGGCATATTATTTATTAGACTAAAATTGCCCACAATGCCCCGAGGCATTGTTGCCTCATTCAACCCAAGGCACACCCTATCGAGCCCCTAATATAACCTTGTAAAATAATATTGTGAAGCCATTAAAGTTTATCAGTTGTCATCTTAATTTGAAAAGAAAGTACTCTCACTATTTCTCTTATTAATTAGTTTCATTAACTTTAACATATATCCATCATAATATTAAACATTTACACTCAACTGGCTATAAGAGGCTTCCCTATTACTCATCACTCAAACCAAATATATCATAGCTAGCCCAATCACAATTTTAGAAAATGTTATTTTAAATTCTGATTTTAATCTCCTAATTTTTGCATAATACTCAAGAAGAAATTCTTCAACTAATCACTAAAAATTTATCATAATAATTATGCAATATATCTTCATTTATATGCTCATATTCATAGATAATACATTCTTATATCTCTATCAAATCAATGTATCACTAGATTTTCTAGTAATATCGACAATATTATAAACTTTACAGCTTTTAAAATTACATATTATATGCTTGATCTTAATTCTATAGTCAAATGCCCCTTACATTTCAAAATTTATCTATTATTCTAACATCTAACTTCATTAGAGCCTCCATTATCAAACTTGTGTCATTTAAAAAAATCATACACGCAACTACAAAAAAAGTAAATAACTTTGATTCGTGATAAAAACCTGACATTACCAGCAACTATTTGGTCATTTCATAAAAACTTTTTAGGCTAATCGCTAATCCATCATACATGTACTTAATAACTTCAAGATAGACTAAATTTCTCTCCATAATGTTTGCAGAACCAATTCTAATGACACTTGGTAATATGCAATTACAATCAATTAAAATATATGATAATTCTTTGAATACTTCCTGCACTATTCATTAATTTCTTTAGACTAAAAATCTCATTCATAATAAATCTTAATGGCACAATGTCAAATTTATTATCTAATATTGCTAGATTTTAACTTACAGTTCACCCACTTTCGACATTTTAGTTTATAAACAAAAAATCCTAGCTTCCATATAAATATTGTCAATCCCAAATATCTTTTATTACTATTTATGACTCATTCAAAAAATGATTTTATCCAATTATTTCACACCTTCATAGTTTTCACAATAGTATCAAACAGAGATTTGATAGAGTTTTATTAAAGAGTTATTGCATAATATATTAGATACACTACAAAAACTAAGCAATCCATCCAGATAACAGGGAAGATTCTTGGAGAAGAAATGAGTTAAATATGCACATATAAGAGAAATAAATGTTGATATGAATTATATTCAAGTATTTAAAGATATGTATACTAGAGTGGTTACATGCTATGGAACATACGGAGGATTGACCAAGTATATTCCTATTTCAATTGGATTACAACAGGGATCGACTTTAAGCTCATTTCTTTTTGTTTTAGTTATGGATGCTCTTAGTAGACATTTACAGAAGGATGCACCTTGGTGTATGCTTTTCGCTGACGATATCCTTCCTATATATAAGACTAGAGAAAGAGTTCGGGAAAAAACTTGAATTATGAAAGTCTACATTGTAGTCTAAAGGTCTTCATTTGAGTAGATCTAAAACTGAATACATGGAATGTAATTTTAGCAGCAGCTCTAGTGGCATAGTTGTAACTATGGCTAATCTAATCATTAAAAGGTGTGAACATTTTAGATATCTCGGGTCTATTGTTCAAAGTGATGGTGATATAGATGAGAATGCTATTAGTAGAATACAAGTTGGTTGATTAAAGTGAAGGAATGCATCAGGTGTATTGTGTGATAAAAAAGTACCAGATGGACATAAAGGAAAATTTTATAAAATGGTGGTAATACCTGCAATGCTCTTTGCGCAAAATGTTGGCCTTTAAAGAGAAGCATAAAACCAAGATAAGTGTTACTGTGATGATAATGCTTAGATGGAAGAGTGACTTGACACTTAGAGACAAAATGTGAAATGAATATATCTATGATAGGGTTGGTGTAGCTCTAATGGCGGCAAGATTAGAGAGAGCCATCTTAGATGATTTGGTTACATTAAACGTCGACCATCTAATGAAACGGTTAGGAAAGTAGATGTTTTAGATTCTACTTATGCTAAGAAAAGTAGAAGGAGACCTAAAAAGACTCGGGCATATTGTATAAAAAATGATCATAGTAGCCGATCCCACTTAGCGGATAAAGGTTTGTTGTTTTTATTGCAAGAGAAAGACATGTATTAATACATAATCGAGCTAGTTCAAATAAACCGCAAACAACCAATTTGTTAGAATTTATTATACCAAAATAATGCCACAACTAATCATATAGATTGGCAACATCCTCTAGTAAAGCACACAACTAAGCAATATGTCTAGCGGACTGGAATCAAATCCATGCCCCAGAACCACGACTTGATCATTTTTTTAATTGGCTCAAAGAAGATGCAGAAACATTCAGCGCACATGCATCATGTGAAAATACAAGAAGTACAGCATATTACAACAGTTTCCATACACCTCTTTTCCACTCGTCCTCGTCACAAATTCAAAAATCTTCCGTACCTACTTAATGAACTCAATTTCATCATGTTCTCAGCCCTAGCAGAAGCAACAGAATTGTTAATAGGCGATACCATAAAAAAAAAAAAAAAACTTACAAAAATAAGTAAAACTCTTAATTCAATGTGCATTATTCAAGGACAGGGTATGTAAAAGTTTTATTCAAGGACAAGGGCAAGAAACTGCGAACACCCACCAATATCTGACTGTTTTACAGCGAGAGCACCTCGTGCTGGTAGGCCTATGGCAGACGGCACACTCGAAACGCCAAGGTCCTCCAGTGTATTCTACGCTAGAACTTTCCGTTGACGCTGGGACGTATGCAAGAGCAGCCTCCATCTCCTCCCTAGCCGCTTCCTCCGCCGCCAACCGCGCGAGGTGTATGACCTCCTCCCTCCTCGCCTGCTCCAGCTTCCATCTGCGGCAAACGGCTGCCCATATAACGTGCACGAAGACGAGCAAAACCACCGCCAAAGCGAAAGGGAACCAAGTATCCCACCGGCTGAGCATCTATCCGACGCCGCCCACTCATCAAGGACTTCAGCACTCTACCCACCGCCTCACATAGATCTTCGCAAGTGTGGCCGCCGCCGCCGGGTTGCTGCCGATTGAAGTGGAGACCATGGCTACGCGAATGATACAAAGGAAGGACGGCGAGTTTCGGAATGGGGTAGCCGACGAACGCCAGTAGAAAACGGAATCGGACAGAGAAGATAAGCTGTCCGTTGATCCTCCGGATCTGCATTGTTAAAACAGTTTTGCCTATGCCATGAAGGAGTAACGGGCTTCGGCTTGTTTTATGTCGGTGTTGGAGCATGAAAATCTGGAATTCCGAGGGGGCACTGGAACCAGCGTCGTGCTCCGCCGGCTTCCCGCGATTCGCCTGATCCGACGGTCAAAACGAATACTCAGCGGACGGTGGCGATGGATAGCTGCCGTGGCCCTCTTTTTAATGAGAAATTTCGATAGATACCACATATATATATTTTTTTAGCGAGTAGTCGGATTTCTTCGTTATCAACTTTAATTTTTTATATAATATTTAAAAAAATTGTTAAACTCATTCAAATAAATTTATGTCATGGCACGTGTGGAAGAGTTGGTATAGGATTTTTTCTTCAACAACTAGACCCAAATTTGAAACACACTTTAACTGCTAATCTCTAATTTAGTTGTCATTAGAGCTTAACTTTTTCACTCGCATAAAAAAAAGATATTTCTTAGATGACAAGCACTAGAACAATTAATTAAGAGTGTGTTTGGGGCATCATTTTCGCCACTTGGGGCGTTGTTCTTGCCGCTTCTAATCTCCAAAACGTTGAACGGTGTGTTTGGGAACCATCTTCTCGAGTGCGTTTTGGCAGTATTCTGCTGTAGAACGAAAAAAATCGATGACAGTGATAGGCTATTTTTCGCAGTTTAAGCTCCATTTCGACTCTTAAATCTCATTGTTGTCCCTCTATAATCTCCAAAATCCCTTCATCTATTCCAACAAATACCCCTCCTCGTATTCTTCTCCCATTCTTGATCGTTATGTGTCTCTAGTGCAGAAACACGACTCCCTTCCCTCCTTCGTACGTTTTCGGTACCATCTAAACTCATTGACTATTTCTATATGTATCTCTCAATCTCATTTGTTTTATGTGTTGGCAGTTTGATGGTTGGCGTTTCACCATTTTTTTTGTTGGGCGACTTGATGGTTTGATTGTTTACATTTTATTATCAACTCGATTTAGCTGTCAGTCGTTTGATGATTTCTGTTTTACCATTTTTTTTCCTTTTATTCCCTCAAATTTCTTGAGAAATTGCATTGGTCAATGAAAAATCAAAAGTTCAGTTGGCAAATAAGTTGGATAAGTTTCATTACAGTAATTGCATTTTAATGTCTCTATTTCAATTTTGTGAATATTGGTTCGTTTGAGATAACTTTTTTTTTTCTTTTGTTCTCTCTTCTCCCTAAGAAATTGTATAGAAATTTGAAAGTTCAGTTGTTAGATATATTATATGAGTTGCATTACATTAATTGTATTTCAATGCTTCTGAATTATGAGCACTATTGGTTTTCTTAAGAAAGTATACATGGGAAATGTCTTTGAGTTGATAGGTAGATGAAATTTAGATCTTAAACACAATATTTCATTTCACTTTCATCTCTTTCAATAAGAAAAAATAATTTATGGATAAATATTTGAGCACTGTTATTTATTTTAAAAAAATATTTTTAAACTATGTTAAATAATAAAGTTATGATGTTAGATAGGTAATTTTGTTTCACTTACATCTGTCTCAATGTAAAAAATCATTTTCTGGAGAATTATGATTACTATTGGACTTTTTGGAAAAATATATATGAGAAATTACTTTGAGCCCATGTAAACATGAAGCTTAGATGTTAGATAAGTTATTTTCATTTCGCTTTGCTCTTCTTAAATCTAGAAAAACATTTTCTGAAGAGAATTATGAGCATTATTGGTTTCTTTAAAAAATTATACAAGAGAAAATTTTTTATTTGATGCAAACATGAAGTTTAGATGCTAAATCAGTTATTACCTTTCAATTTCTTCTTATTTAATGAGAGAAAGTAATTTATTGATAAATATATGTGCACTTTTGTTTATTTTAAAAAAAATATTTTGAAGCTCCGTTAAATATTAAAGTTCTAATGTTAGATAAGTAATTTTGTTTTACTTATATAAGATTCAATGTGAAAAAACTTTTTTCTATAGATAATTATGATCAATGTTGGTTTTTTGGATATATATATATATATATATATATATATATATATATATAGAAAATTGCTTTGACCCCGTGTAAACATGAAACTACATGTTAGATAAGTTATTTCATTTCACTTGAATTTTTTTCAATCTAGAAAATCATTTTCTATAGAGAATTATGAGCAGTATTGACTTGTTAAGAAAATTATGTATGGAAAATTCTTTTGATCTGATGCAAACATGAATTTTAAATGCTAGCTAAGTTATTTCTGTTCACCCTCCTCTTGTTCAATCAAGAAAAGTTATTTATGGATAAATATGTTGACATCATTAATGGATGTCATATATATTGGTGTCCACTTGAGTGCTACAGGACCGTTTACGGCTTCCTATAGCCTAGGACATCCGTTTGGACAGTTTGGTATGTGTCTCAAGCACAAAACTAAGATTGGAGTCAATTTAGCCCCACCCAGAAGAATTCGTTGTGGGGTAGTGTAGGTCTCGATACGGGACATGTTTAATTCTTATCCAAGTGTTTGAAGGTCATACCCTACCTATTCGGAGCTTCCGGTGGCTAAAGGGAATCATCAAATTCCCCCATGAACATTGTTGGGAAAAGTTAGAATTCGGGCCTCTCCACCCGTGTGAGGGTCCAAAACGCCTGTTGGCACCAAAATTCTTGAATCAAAGGCTCCAACATGAACATGCTCATTTTGATCTATAGAATCATATTTGAGTGATGTGTGACTTTTCGTAGTGTCTAGTCGATTAAAATCATCATACGGGCACCGGGGTGAAAACCCAAGTTTTTCACCGTCGAGGTCATACCCGACCCTGAATAGCGATTTTTGCCTGATACGACATGTCATCGACGTCCATCCGGACGTGGGGAAGTCTATTTCAATCCATGGTGCTTTTCTAGTGGTTTAAAAACCCATGGGAGTCCTCTACGTGAACTTCAATTAAGAAGGGAAGGGAAGCAAACAAAAAAAATGAAATGAACTTTTTTTAAGGCGGTGGCACCTAAGCGCCCTTCAATGGGTGCTTATGAGCCAAAAAAAGGTGCTCACAATAGGCGGGGGTGCATATGCCCCCCTTTATTGGCGCCAACACCATAAAAGAGCATTATTTTGTGATTTTTGTTTGTCTATCCGAGGAGATGACGCTTATGCACCACCCAATTAACGCATAAACGCGAGACTTGTTGTAAATCGCTCCTGAGATAGTAAGGGGTGCATATGCACCACCGAATGATGACATAAGCACCAAAACAAAATATGTGACATAGAGAGATGGGTGCATATGGGCCCAATGGCGCATATGCGGCCAATCCTTGACGCATATGCACCCAACCTACTTTGTTCCATTAAGGGTCACTGCATCACGATATTTCAACAAAGATGGAAAGGACCATTAAGGGAACTTTTTGCATGTTCGCTAAACAGTTTGTGGAAAGGATCAAAAGGCTTTAGGAAGAGATTAACCATTTTCTTGTAAGAAGATCAAATTTACAATCTTTTCTGAGCAGAAAAGCAGCCAGTGAAACAGGCCATGTGGGAGACTTAGGTGTGGTGGCAGACCAAACTAAATGAGAGAGAAGTGCTCATTTTGAGAGAGGCTCTAAACATTTTTCAAACTAAGAGGGAAAGATAAGAGAAGGAGATTTTCTGGAGAAAAGAAGCTCAAGTGAAGAAGAGAACACTTCTTCTTCTTCCATCTTATTTCTTCTTCTTGTTTCATTTTTCTAAATTTATTGCTTCTTTATGAGTACTTCCACCTTCTTCTTCTCTCTCAGATTTCCTGATAAAGGGAGTGAAGTATGAGAGAGTTTTGAAGGAGAGGAGAAGGTCTTGGAGAGGAGATCAAACAAAGAAGAACTTCCTCCTCCTCCTCCTTCTTTTCTCCATTTTCCTCCGCTAAAATTTTTTTTTTTCCTTCATCCTCTCTCTTTTTCACCACCAAACATTACGAAAGGGTGAGAGAGCTTGGAGAGATTATTAAGAGTGGGGGATGCCGACACGTCTCCTTCTAAAAAGAAGAGCTTCTTCCCTACATTGGAAAAGGCTTTCGGTGACTGCTACGTCCTCTTCGGCGAGGAGAGCTTCCTCTCACACTTGGGAGGAGGAGTGGAGTCACTCCCCTACTTGAGGAGAGCTTCATCCTTCAATTGAGGACGTCATTAAGCATCACGTAAGTGATATTCTTGTTCCCTTGCATTTTTCTTTCCTTAACTAGGCTTAGAATTGTGCTAGATGATTAGGACTCTGTGGTTGTTTTTCTAAAGAAAGTCGCTATGATAGGAATCTGTTGTGGACAAATCCACACGAATCCAAGTGTTATCCTTGCGAAAAGCCTTAGACTGAACCCAAAATTGGTTGGAATCAGTGTTTCCACCAGCTTTAGCGATTCCAACCTTCCATGGAGGGGTTGGAACACTTAGGATTTGTATGATGAAAACTGATTTGTAGCAAGTTCAACATATAAATGGTGGAGATATTCACATTCGAGGAATCAGATGGTGAAATTCCCCACATCTGTAGCCGAAGTTGGAGGTAGCTATGTCGCATATCCATGTGTTGAAAACTAGGTACCTATGTGAGAGTGCTAGTATGTGTACGACTCACAACTGGCATTAGCATTTCTGTGGCATCATATGCTTTGTCATGATGAATGTCTCTACATTTTACATGTTGTATGTAGCACGTCGATTTGATTGGCTGCTCTGGCCCGGTCGACCTATCGCTTAGGTCTGATTGGCCGTCCTGATCCAGTCGATCGATCACTTAGGTGCGACCGACACCCCTAGCCCAGTCGAACAATCATTTAGGTTCGACCAACCACCATGGCTCAGTCGATCAACCACTTGGGTCCAATCAACCACTCCGGTCCAACTAACCCTTTGGCTTTGATGTCTCGGGTTGACCATTATGGTAAACTCAATGGGTCAAACGACCAACATCACTTGTATGATATATACTTTGCATGTGCATTCCATCATTTACATGATAGTGCATGACTTGGTTAGCATCGACACATGTGTGCATGAAAATACTTCTGATCTGTATTTTGATGAGCTCATTTGCATGTTATTTTTCCCTCAACAC